AATGGAATGCATAACTAGAAAGAAAGAAAACTGTCCCTATTTGCAGGTGACATGATTGTCTACATAGTAAAATCCTTAGCAATCTACCAAACAATAACAACCATATAGCAGTAAAACTTCTAGAATAAGTGAATTGAGCAAAGTTGTGGGATATATGATCAACACAAAAAAATTCATCGTAGTTCTACATCCTTGCAAGAAACAATTAGAAACCAGAATTTTAAGACATAATGCCATTTATAATTGCCCTAAAAATGGAAAATGCAATACTTAGATAAAAATACTTATACAATGCTGGTGAAATAAATTAAAGGTCTCAATGAGTGAATGAATTTATTATGTTCATGGGTTAGAAGACTCAACATAGAAAAGAGTTCAGATCTTCGCAAACTGACCCATAGACTGAACATAGTCCTATCAAAATCCCAGCAAGTCCTTTTTTCTTTTTGTATATATAGACAAATTGATGCCAAAATTTGTATAAAAAGGCAAAGGAATTAAAATAGCTAAAGCAATTTTGAAAAGAATAACATCTGAATAATAATCATAGTTGATACTTCTAAGACTTAACCATAGTGACAGTGATCAAAATAATGTATAGTATTGGAAGAGAGGTAGACATATAAATCAATGAAACAGAATAGAGTCCAAAATAGACCCACGTGGGTGTACTTTTTTTCATTGAGGTGAAATTTATGTAACCATCTAAAATTCACCATCTTAAAATGAACAATTCAGTGGTATTTAGTGCATTCACAAGGTCACCTCTGTCTAGTTGCACAGCATTCATCAGCTTAAGAGAAAACCTCACTCAAAATCATTAAACAGCTGCTCTCCATTTCCCCATTTCCAATTCCCATGGCCCCTAGAAACCACCAATCTGCATTGTCTATGGATTTACCAATTCTGAATGTTTCATACAAATGGAATCATATGTGATTTTTTTCTATCTGGCTAACTTTACTTAGATTAATGTTTTCAAGCTCCATCCATGTTGTAGCATGTATTAGTACTCCATTCCTTTTTTGTGGCTGAGTAATATTCTGTTCTGTGAGTCTACCAAAATGTGTTTATCCATTCATTTGTTGATGGATGTTTGGATTGTGTTCACCTTTTGCTGTTTCAAACTAGCATTGCTATTAATATGTCTCTACATGTATTTATTTGAGTAACAGTTTCCCTTCTTTTGAGTATATACCTATAAGTGGGCAGTTGAGTTTTGAGACAGATGCAAAAGCAGTTCAATGAAGGAAGCATAGTCTTTTCAATAAATGGTGTTGGAATAATTGGACATCTCATAGGGAAAAAAATGAACCTTGACCTAAACCTCACATTTTTACATAAAATTACCTGAAAATGGGTAGTAAATCTGACAGATAAAACAAATGTGACATGTAAAACTATAAAACTTTTAGAGGAAATTGTTGGTATAAATCTTTGTGACCTAGGCTAAAAGTTTTTAAACAGACACCAAAAGAATGGTTTCTAAAAGGGGAAAAAAATCAATAAATCAAACTTATAAAATTAAGAACTTTTGCCCTGTGAATGACCCTGTTAAAGAGGATAAAAGACAAACCATAAACTTGACTGGAAGAAAATCTTCACAATTCACATCTCCAACAACGGTCTTGTATCCAGAATGTATTAAGAACTCTCTTTCTTTTTTAAGTTGTATTTTTTTTTTAAGAGAGAGAGAGGGAGCATGTGTGCATGTGAGAGGGAGAGAGGGGCAGAGAGAGGGAGAGAGAGAATCTTAAGCAGGCTCCATGCTCAGTGTGGAGCATGAGTCTCACAACCCTGAGATTCATGACCTGAGCCAACATCAAGAGTCAGGTGCTTAACTGACTAAGCCACCCAGGTGCCCCAAGAACTCTTCAATCTCAACAGTAAGAAACAACCCAGTTGGAAAATGGACAAAAGTTTGAGCAGATAACTTTACCAAGGAAGATATATGGTCAACAAACATGCACATGAAAAGATGTTCAAAATCATTAACTATTAGGAGATGTAACCTGAAAACATGATGAGATCCCACCACACCCCTATCAGAAATGGCTAACATAAAAAACACCAAGATTTGGAGCCACCAGCTCTCTCATGTATTCCTTATGGAAATGTAAAATGGTATGGCATTCTGGGAAACAGTGTGACAATTTGGTTCAACAATTATACTCCTGTGTATTTATCCTAGAGAAATAAAAACGTCCACACAAAAATCTGTACACTCACATGCATAGCACTTAATCTGTAATACCCTAAACCTGGAAACGACCTATATGCCCTTCAATGGGTGAATAGACTGTGGCACAATCCAATAACAGACTACTACTCAATAATATGAAGGAATGAACTATTGATACACACAATACCTTGGATGGATCTCAAGAGCATTATGCTAAGTGATAAAACCGATCTCAAAAGGCTTAATACTGTCTGATTTCATTTATAACATTGTCAGAGTTACTAAATGATTGTCATGGAGAACAGGTCAGTAGTTGCCAGAGATTAACATTTGGAGAAGGAGTGATGTAAGAGAAATTATTTTGATGTAACAGCCTGTATCCTGATTGTAGTACTAGTTGCATGAGTCTATATATGTTATAAAATTTGATAGTTCTGTAAACCACCACTCCCCGCCCCCCTCAAAAAAACCTGGTGAAATCTAAAGAAGGTCTGTATATTAATATTATGTAATGTCAGTTTCCTGATATTGATAATGAACTGTGGTTAAGTAAGATATTCTCATTGGGGAAAGCTGTGTGGAAGGTAACTCGCTATTGTTTTTGCAATTCATTGTGGGTCTTAAATTATTTAAAAATAAACAGCAAAAAATACTATGTTAAAGATTTCAAAAAGTTAATAACCTGAACTGGTTAGATCACTGTTAAACTGAGGCAGTGAGAAAAATGGTCTTAAAAGTATTTTTAACTAAAAAAAATAATAACGGGATTTCAAAGAAATTTAGACTCAGCTAACAGTGGATTCTCAGTGCATGGATAGCTACATGGAGAGATGGAACAATGCCTCTATCCAAAGGAAAGGCAGCAGGATTTGACATCTGGTTTAGTTATTGTTGGTGGTTTGATTTAAAAGCCAGTGAGTAGACATGTGCTCTAAGTACCAGCGCTACCGGGACCAGTGGCACTTTGCAGAATGGAAGAGCTGGCAAAACAGTGTAAGTTATTCTGATCTTTATTTAAAACCGAACAAAACATTCACAACAGCTTTTGCACAAGAACTGAAGTTTCAACTAGTGTTTCTCCTAACCTGTTCCAAACTTGCTTTTAGTTTTCTCCTTCTTTCCCCCTTCTCTCTCTTCCTCTTTCCCCATTCCCCTCTGTCTCCAGCACTTCTTCCCTTTCCCTCTTTCCTCCCTTTCTTCTCTATTCTCCCTTTCTTCCTTTCCTTCCTTTCCTTCCATCCCTTCTCCATCCTTTTCCTATCTCCCTCTTTTTTTTTTTCTTTTTTAAGGAGTAACTGCTGTATCCTCCCTGAATATTGGTTTTGGAGAAGGAGAGTATAATTAGGCCTGTTAAGTAAAATCGTGGAGGACATTTCTGACATTCACCCTTAATTTTTAAACTAAGTTATTTTTTTTTTTTAATTTTTTTGTCAACGTTTATTTATTTTGGGGACAGAGAGAGACAGAGCATGAACGGGGGAGGGGCAGAGAGAGAGAGGGAGACACAGAATCGGAAACAGGCTCCAGGCTCTGAGCCATCAGCCCAGAGCCTGACGCGGGGCTCGAACTCACAGACCGCGAGATCGTGACCTGGCTGAAGTCGGACGCTTAACCGACTGCGCCACCCAGGCACCCCCTAAGTTATTTTTAGATTGAGAAATTAAGCTGGTTCTGACACCTGGCAGTCAGGCGATAAACTTATGGAGAAAAATTGAAGGTGCTTGAAGCTATATGTCTTCTGTGCATTTGTGTAGGATTGGCAGAATTTGGCTTCTCAGAAATTAGTTTCTCTTCTCTAGCCTTGAAGGGACTTTTGTTTACATTAGATTCTTGAATGAGAGAGTTAGATTTGGATACATCTCATTCTTTCTCTGACTTTCTTTTGTGGCTTTTATAGTTGCAGAAGATATTAGCAAAGTTGCTCTGGTGTACTTGTCTTTTGAACCTGAAATAGAGGTTTTTTAAAGATCACCTGGAATATCCAGAGATATTTGGATATTTGAGACTACTATCTCAAAGACCCCAGTAATAGAAATGCCCCATAATGTTTGTTGTTTCTATTGGACATGTAGAATTTGTCTTTTTTAAAAAGTGGCTTTAGAACATTCCAAAGACTTCTAGGCAGAGTAAAACTTTTAAAAATGCATCTAAAATAAGCCAATTGTTGATTATTAAGATCGTTCCTCTTCTATAACTGTATAGTAACCATCTGCCTTTGCTTCAGTGTGTCAGGATTACGGTCTGTATGTTAACTATGCACCTTGGTATCTTTTCTCTATTGCTTCCACACTTAGAATTTTATAAAATGCCTACAGGGAAATTGATTTCCTGCAGCATTTGGTAGACTACTTGTGCCTGAGCTATTGTGTTCTTGTTAACTACTTGCAACAAATTGTTCTTTGCTAGAGGGCTAGAAAGGACACCTCAATACTATCTTAACTTTGCTATGAAAATATTCTTGTTTAATGTGTTAAGAGACAATAATTTCCAGTACTGGCTTTTAAAAATGAAAATGCTTTTAACTTTCTCTTTCATGGTTATTAACTATGCCCAGAGTCTTCATTTTAATTACCACAATGCAGTACTCCAGTTCTCTTATTTGCTTCATTACCTTTTCTGCTTTGGTTGTGAAAATAATTTTAGAGAAGTAAAATCAGACTGTTTCCAGTACAATGAAATGCTTTCACCACACTGTTAATGAATCTTTTCTTCATTATAACACAAAGCTAGATGCTGTAGATCTTTTTAAACAAACAAATTAAAAACTGTTTAGTCTTATGATGAGAGCAGACAAAGACCACAATAAAACTTAACGTACCTGGCTCATTCCTTTAGTTTTTCTGACCTCTCTTCATTGGAAGTAGGAGGTGTCTATGGCTTAACTCTGCCCTGGAGAAGGAATGCTATTAGTTGCTGGAAGGGTTCTTGGGCTTCTTAAATGTGAGATCTGAAACCATAAAACTACTAGAAGAAAACATATAGGAAAAGCTCCTTGGACATTGTTCTTGACAATGATTTTTTGTGTATACCACCAAAAGCAAAAGCAACAAAAGTAAAAATCAGCAAGTGACTACAGCAAACGAAGAAACTTGTGCATGGCAAATGAAATCATGGACAAAATGAAAAGGCATCCTAGAGTGGGAAAAAATATTTGCAAACTGTGTATCTGATAAGGGGTTAACATTCAAAATATATAGGGAATTCAACTCAATAGCAAAAAAATAACCTACTAGAATATGGACTAAGGATCTGAATTGACATTTCTCAAAAGAAGACCTACAAATAGTCAAGAGATCACTAATCATCAGGGAAATGCAAATCAAAATTACAATGAGAAATCACCTCATACATGTTAGAAAGGCTGTTATCAAAAAGATAAAAGATAACAAGTTTTATAAAGGATGTGGACCAAAGGGAACCCTTGCACACCATTGGTGGGAATGTAAATATCCATTATGGAAAACAGTATGGAGATTCCTCAAAAAGTTAAAAATGGAACTACTGTATGATACAGCAGTCCCACTTCTCGGTAGTATATGTCTGAAAGAAATGAAATCACTATCTCAGAGAGATACTGCACCCCCTTGTTCACTGCAGCATTATTCAAAATAGTCAAAATATGGAAACAACCTATGTGTCTGTCAGTGGATAAATGGATAAAGAAAAAAAGGTGGTATATATATATATATACACACACACATATACATATATACACACACATATATATATACACATATATACACACATATATACACACAATGGAATGTTCTTCAGCCACGAAAATAATAAAACCTGCTTTTGCAAGATAATAAACCTGAAGGATATTATGCTAAGTGAATAAGACACAGAAAGACAAATATTGCATGATCTCATATGTGCAATCTAAAAAAGTCAAATTCATAAAAGTAGAGAGTAGTATAGGAATTACCAGGAGAAAGGAGATGTGGGAAATGAGATGTTGATCAAAGGGTATGAAGGTTCACTTAATGTGGGATGAGTAAGTTCTAGAGATCTAATGTACAGTATGGTGACTATATATATATATATCAACTTGTTTGTATACTTTAAATATATACAGTTTTTATTTGTCTAGTATACATACGTCCACAAGGCTAGGGGAGTGACCAGGTAAGTGCTCTAAGCCTGCACTTCTTGTTGTTGAATTTTGTATTAAAGACATCATGAGAGGATGGATAAGAGTATTGAACAATAGATAGGGAGAGCTGAATTCTAAATTCTGGCTTCATTGCCACCAATATATTTTTGTCACTGATGGCTTGACATCACCTTTGTCTCCCTACATGCAATTCAATTGAACTAATAGTTATTGAACATTTACTCTTCATGAGAGATTTCTGGAGATACGATGTCCAGTTTATATTGACTAATTTTTGTTTGTTGTTAATTTAGCCTTTTTCTGCAATGCTTTTGGTCGGTAGTAAATATAGACAGATAAGTGAGGAAAATTACATGGTAGCTGGAAAAGTTTCCTCTGAAGAGTCTTTTGCTTGTGTGTATTGGAAATCTAAATAGTTGTGGCAAAAGGCTTCATCGGTGATTTAATTTAAAAACCACAGAATCAGTACTATTTTGTAATGTTACATCATTAATTCACAATTACTACTAATTTACTAAATGAAGGCAGTGGAAACTTCTAAATCTTAGCAGTGCCTACATAATATAACTGTGGTTTACTAGTTGATTTAAAATTCTTTTTAGCAAAGTAGAAATTACACTGGCTTCTGAATTTGAAATATGTTCAATAGTAACAATTTTCATATTTTAACCAAAGTCAAAGAGACTAAAATATTTTAGCATATGATGATGCCTTTAGTGAATTAATAATCATTTAGCTTTAAGAGACACTGCTTCTCTTAATATACCATCTTGGAGGCATATTGATTTTAATATATACTTCTCAATTTTGATTTATAGGATAATGAGAACAAATAGGGCTTTCAGTTCTGGTCATCTAGGGTCATTCTTAGAAATTAACAGTGTCAGAAGAAATGCCTCAGATAGTGTTAAAAAAACAACTGAAGAAAAGGAAACTGAATACAGAAGAACCCTATTTTATCTTAAGTCCTTATTTCTTAATTTATATGTAATAGCTTTGCTGCAGAATTATAACTGTAAGAATGTTACATAATATTGTTAGCTTTTAAAGGTCCATGTTTGGGCCACCTTGCAGCACTAAATGCAAAAATACTGCATTTATCCAGTGTGAAACAATGTATCTTGAGATTATGAGAATAAATGAGTTAGTATGTTTGAATTAGCTGTGAACATATACCATGTCATTTAGTTTCATAGTATCTCTGAGAAGGAAGGATGGGTGACAGAAAGAGATTGTGGAGGGAGGTAATTTTTGTCATAATTTTAAATTAACAAAATGAAGCAAAATCACACAATTTAATTCATAACAGAACCCGAATTAGAACAAAAGTTTTATCTTAAACTTCTCTATGCAAAGGTCTTTAACTAAAGTATGTTGTTTCAAGTAATTTTGGCAAATTTACCTCCTATTTCTAAAACTTGAATAATCATCATCATTTGCAAGATGAATTTCTTATTCTATTGGATTGTTATCTCCCAAATTTTGTTGTAAATATTAAGTGCTTAATAGATATTTATTTAATGAACAAAAGTTCACTTGTACGCGATCAGTGAGTGATACTCAAGGCAGAAGGAGGGAGAAGTGAGTGAGACCCTCTCCCAAGGGACTTAGGGAGGAGGTATTTTCAATCTGTATTTCCCAATCTTCTAGTCCCAAATGAGAAGTACTTCCTAGTGGCACTCCTGCTGGAAGTGTATCATACTCTACGCACATACATGTGGGGTGTGTGTGTGTGTGTGTGTGTGTGTGTGTGTGTGGTGAGTGGACAATGTCTTAAAAGGGAGGAAGGGGAAAGATCAAAAGAATCACCATACAGAACAAAGCAATATGCCTGCATTCTTGGATAACTGGTAGAGAAATATAGAAGAAAGTGCATTAGGCACACTAGAAACAATTGAAAAACAGGTTTTATCATCAGAAATAACTACCCTGTTAAAGTGTCAGCATAATTAAAGCTGCTTTTGGTAAGGAAGCCCTTCTGTATATTCTTGCTAATGGATGAGACATACCTTCAAGCCTTTTGCAGACAGAAAGTATAAAACCAGGATCAGTGCAATTGACAAAGGCTATTTCGTAAGAAATTTGAAGATTATGCATACATATATATGCATGCCCGTGTGTGTGTGACAACAGCTCTGATTCCCTTTTGTAGACTCCTATAAATCTCTATTTGTGCTCCTCTGTAGCAGTGGTGGATAACAAAGACTTAGGTCAGCTAAGGGGTTCCTGAGTAGGGTTTCTTTCCATCTGAATAAATCCCTGCCCATCTCAGAATTGTTGCTTTGTTTCCTTTATTAACATCTGCTTGTTTTTTCTAGATACTTATTCTGGTGAGCCTAATCTTGTGTTAGACACACATAGGTTTGTTTTTTGGTTTTGTTTTTGTTTTGTTTTGTTTTTTCTATTTCTCACTGTCTCTCTGCCTTTTTATGAACAAGATCTTTTGAATTTTTCACACTTTTAAATATTTTTGTAAAAAATTGGGCTGTGGCTCTGAACTTCTTCAGTGTTTTATTTACTGTTCTCATTCTGATCATTCATTTTCTCTTCTCTTATTGCTAGCCTTGGAGTCTTCCATTGATTACTCATGATTAGTCATTCCAGAACCAAACATAGTGGATTCCTTTCCTTTTTACATGTTACCTATGACTTAACAGAAAGATTTAATACAGTCTCAATTTAGCTTGGGTTAAGGCACATTAACACTCTTGAATGAAGCTTCATTTCATAAACTGTTCATGTCTTTCTCTTAGGACTCGGTTCTTATGCTTGAAGCATTGCATTCTAATTAGACTCAGGAAACACAGATTCCTTAATCTGTGTCTTAAATGCAGATATGTCTTCTTTTTATTAAAAAAAAGTCTGTAGTTTCAAACGTTTAATTATTCTATTCCTTCACTCTTTTTTTTCCTTAAAAATGTGAAGATTAATGTAAGATGTAATCAGGTATATTACATGTGAGGTATATGGCATATCTGTACATCTTTACAATAATTGTGTATATTGAAAAACTATTCTAAAAGAAAAAGTCTACTGAAAAATATATAAAGGATATTTTCTTTTTCATTCATATGAATTTTAGAAATATTCATGTGCTATATTTCTTTTTTTTTTTAATTTTTTTTTAACGTTTATTTAATTTTGAGACAGAGAGAGAGCATGAACAGGGGAGGGTCAGAGAGGGGGAGACACAGAATCCGAAACAGGCTCCAGGCTCTGAGCCGTCAGCACAGAGCCTGATGCGGGGCTCGAACTCACGGACCGCGAGATCATGACCTGAGCCAAAGTCGGCCGCTTAAGCGACTGAGCCACCCAGGTGCCCCTCATGTGCTGTATTTCTTAAAATCACGAAATATCTGAAAATGTTATGTTCTTTATTTGCCCTGTTGATAAACTATTGAATTAATAACAAAGCTGTGGATCATTTTGAGAATGTTCCTTATTCCCAGGATCCTTATATAATATTGGATAGAAAGTAAATGATATTGGTCTCTCAATAACATATCACCTATCCTTTTCTTCCTCTCAAATCTCTTGTGGCTAAACCAGCTGGAGTCTTAAGTAGAAAAGTCTTAAGTGAAAAGAATCAGCAACTCTGGTACTTGATTGGGGAAACTGTACTGACCAAAGCTTGCTGAATTTTATCTGGATTTTCTCAGACTTCTAAGGGCTCTAACTCTTCAGAAGGCTCTTGATGCTATAGGTTATATTTTGATCTAAAAAGATCAGCCTCAGTGGCACATTTGAATGTAAAAGATACCTCTTCTGAAAGTAACTGTGCTGCATTTTCCCTTCTCAGCTTTTCCTTCAGAGTCATTTTATACCTTCACCTTCCTAGCTTTTGTTTCTAGGGCTCTGCTTGACAGAACAGATGATATCCTTGGAAAACAGCTGTAGACTTGTGGTTTGGTGACTGCCTTTTTTCAAGGCTCATATAAATTGAGAACTGGTTACTTTGCTTCTTTGTGGGAGAAAAGTTGCTGTTCCTCAAGGCACCCATCCATACTCTTACCTCATAGACAGAACAACTTAAACTTCTTGCAGACAGAACAGCTTTAAACTTCTTGGTTAAAGTCCTTGTCAAAACAAAATTTTATTTGAAGAACTAAGATGCCTCAGGATATTTAACAGTAGCCCATACGAATTACAGCAGAGTTGAAGCTTTATAATAAAAAAAGATATCTCTCATTAACTAACCCTATTGCACCCACTGTTAGGTAATATTAAGTGTTTTAACTACTTACTGTTCATCTTATAGCAAGGTATACACATAGAAAAAAGGACCTCCTGATTAAAAATTGGCATAACAATGGGTGGGCATATGGGTGAAATAGATAAAGGGGATTAAGAGGTACAAACTTCCATTTCTAAAATAGTCACAGAGATGAACAGTACACATAGGGAATATAGTCAATAATACTATAATAACGTTGTTTGGTGACAGATGGTGACTACACTTATGATGAGCACTGAGTAAAGAATTGTTAAATCATTGTGTTGTACACCTGAAACTAACAGTACACTGTATGTTAATTATACTTCAGAGATTAAAAAGCTACTATAACACAGCCTCAAGACAGCCAATGTAGAACATATTCTACATTTTATTGTGAAAATTACTAGTAGCTATCATCATTAGTTTAAAAAAAAAACAAGTTTTGTAACTGATATTTTATAATTGTTGAACTCATATTTTTTTTTATTCATTGGTTTCACTTCCATAATGAAAAAGTACATTTTGTTTGTGATATCTAGAACTCTGTGGAGATAAGTGGAATTAATAGGTAAATTATAGTTTTTCCTTTAAAATGATTTAAGTTTCACGTGGGAAGGTAAGCTCAGTGTGCTGAAGTACAGCTGGCATAAATAAGTTATTTTACTTCTTTCATAATGAGCTCATCAATGTATGCAACTTTGAATTTGGAGATGATCACACTTGCATGTTCTGAGTGATGGAGAAGTGAAGATTACTTTTTTAATGTAGCTGCGTAATTTCATATCTGTCTAGCGATGTTTCTTAAGCAACTGTTCTTTTTTCCCTGCCATCTCTCTAAAATAAACGTTCAGTGGATGCTTTGAAATTTAATCCTTAAAGCTAGATTCTTTGCTTAGTAAGATACACTGGGTCAGTCTTGGCTTATATATGATTTTTGACACTTGTCTCTTAGGAAGAGAAGATGACCTCTCTTCACCTTTGTCTTTTCCCTGCATCTTTGTCTTTCTCCCTGATAGAATCCCAAGGACTGCAGCAAAGCCAAGAAGCTAGTATGTAATATCAACAAAGGCTGTGGCTATGGCTGTCAACTCCATCATGTGGTCTACTGTTTCATGATTGCATATGGCACTCAGCGAACACTCATCTTGGAATCTCAGAATTGGCGCTATGCTACTGGTGGATGGGAAACTGTGTTTAGACCTGTGAGTGAGACCTGCACAGACAGATCTGGCACCTCCACTGGACACTGGTCAGGTAAGAAGCCTGTGCAGTATTTCACATCTCTGGGTTGAACTGCCATGTTCCAAATTATCAGATTTCTAGGCACAGCTTTATGGCTCGTGGTGATCTTTTTCTCTGGATCCATGACTGCTCAACATAACTAAGGTAAAGTCTAGAATGATATTTTATTTAAAAAGTGCTTTATGACCTGTTTAATTTCTGATGTTCATTTTTATCTGGACTTAGCAAAACCACTAAGTTTTTTTAAGGAATGAAATTTACTCTTTTAATGATGATACACCTTTCACTTTTTAGAGTACTTTCACATTACTGAACTTAATTGATACATGTAATTATCTAATTTGAACTCATAATTATGTAATAAGGTAGACCGATACATGAAAATCTTCTGCATGCATGAGAATCACCTGGAAGACTTGTTAAGACACTGTCTTCTTATTAAGTAGGTCTGGGGGTGCTGAGAATTTGTATTTCAAACAGAGTTTGCGGGTCCAGGGATCACAATTTGAGAACCACTGAGACAGACCATGCAGGTACCTTTTTATCCATTTTACAGTAGAGGACAATGAAACCTAATTTGCTTATGTAATTTTCATTTTATTCAAGAAACAGTTAATGTAAGGTACTATGCTAGACATTATAAGAGGTATAAAGATCATCAAGAAATTTTTCTTTATCTCTAAGAATTTAGTAATAGAGGAAGTAGAATATAGAGTTTCTCACTGCTAATCTATTCTTTCTGCAATGATGATTTTTAAACAAGGTCTAAAGTTGGGCTACCTTTTGTTAGAATCCTTGCTTTATCAGTTTGTAATCTTGGGCAAGTTACTAGACTTAGTTCTCTCATCAGTAAAGTGAGAGGTAATAATTTACTTACCTCTTTGAGCTGTTGGTAGGAGTAAGCAAAATAATGTATGTAATGCACTTAGCCATAATACTTGATAGATGAACTCTAGTAATTATTAGCTATCGTTAATAGCCTTTATTCATTGGATAAATATACAGTTGAGTACCTACAGTGTGGCAGATACTGAACTAAGTGAGTAGGTGAAATGCTAGGAAGACAATACACGGTCTCTGCAGTTTCATCTTGTGGGAAGTCAACATTTTTTCAAAAGGCTGAGGCATCTCTGTTAATATAATTTCTCATGAAGCTGAGCATCTTTTTTCACAAGTTTAAAACACTAGATGTAGAATAAGAAGCTTTGTCGTTGGCAAAGGGAGTGACTTTAGTTCCTTTGTTTCTTTTTACCTCTGTTGGAAAATATCAGATAACCTGACTCTTCACAGAAGTGCAGGAAAATTCATTGGGTAATTTTTATAAAATGCTTTAAGTTGCTCTATAAAAGGTTCTATATGAATTTAAAGCATTATTTTGTGATGTGAGTTTTGTCTTTCTTAGGATGATTTAGGAGCCTTATTGTATGTATCAACATACTTTTTCTTTGTAACACCAAGTTTTAAAGTGAACCTCTTAATCTAGAACCTTTAGCTGATCTTTAATTTTGAGGTTACATCTTCCATTGATCTGGTCTGTAGTTCACAGCTAGTGCAAACAGATTAGATAATCAAGGTTAGGAATATACAGGAAAAGCGGTTCTGTCAGACTCATTGTGGCTAACTTTTTCGTTTTGGGAACTTAGTTTAATATCAAGCCTCTTTGTGAAAGTACAGAGCCAGAGTAGGGCAAGGTTCTTGTGTTTAACTGTTTCTAGGGAGAGGCAACTTTGGGGATGGTAGTCAGTTAATAGGAAAGAAAAAGTTGGCCTCACTCGTCTTACCAAATTTAATGTATAGCTTGGCCTTGCCTAGAAGCTACAACTAGTTATTTGATTTAATCCTTTCTCATGCATTTTGTAGCCTGTAGTAGCAACTACAAGATGTGAAGGTTAAAGAGGCTTGAATTTGAAACAGGCATAATTGCTTAAAGTTATAGTTAAACAGGTTCTAGAAATCATTCTTCTTTAATTTATGTGATTCTAAGGCCTAGTAGATACCAGGTGGTTGATTTATCATGCAGCTTATTAATGACAGAACTATGGTTGGCACATTGACTTCCACCTGCCCTCAGTCTACACCTTCCCAGTAAACTCTGGCCAAACACCTTACCCATTGGAACAATGACAGGCACAGAGACTGTGCTGAATGCCAAGGAACGAAATAAAATTACTGATTTTATTTACTACCCGGTATCCTGTAACTTTTTCCAAACCTTCTATATAATTTCCAGTACTTAAGAGTTATCAGTGGTATTTTCTTCTCAGTCATTTGCAGTCCCTGATTTTAAAGAAGTCATTTTATCATGGTAGCATAGAATTATAATTTTAATTAATAGGTCTTTCCTTTATCACTACAGGTATTGTATAAAATCATATATTTTTCTTTCTGCTAGTAAATTAAACTGTGCCTGTTGGACACCTTTAATTAATTAAACTAGTGATTATTTTCAATATGCTTGCAGAACTCATTGTAGCTAAAATAATTTAGATGCTAATCTTGTATCTAAAAGAAGGAAGAGATTTATGTTTGGGCTTAGAATATTTTATTTTTATGAAAGCTGTGGTAACCATCCACTTCTGTTTCTGTTTATATACATTATCTGTATATGTACCTTTTGGAAAAACTAACCTGTTTTTAGAATTAGAGGAAACAGAATGAATTTTAATAAGCTCTTTAACTTTAGTTCTTTAGTTAGCCATAAATCAACTACTACATCTGTTATTGTAGTGACTTGTATAAAGAATCTTGGGATATTTCCCCAGGCACCATTGCCATGAAATTATTATTGTTTATACACACTTGACATGATGTGCCTGCAGGTGGAATTTATTGTTTCTATTGAAATCTGTCACCAGTACAGCAATTAGTATGCACATCTGATCATTTCAATAGCTAAATCATACCTTGTTGTAGGTTGAATTGTTTTTTTCCCCCTTCATTATTTATGAAACCATATTCTTTATAGTGATTTGGCTAAGTGAAGTAAAATATTCAAAATTATGCTTCCAGTTAAAAATAATAATAATGATCTTTCCCATCACCTATGGATGTTGTGTCTATTCTAAAGTTGCTGATAAAAGGGTCAGTTTATTTTTCTGTATCACAAGATATTTCCTAAACCTGAACCGACTGCATGACTCTTCTAAATAGATTCCTTATGATAATTCAGAATGGAATCTTGGTGTTTAATGGTTTGAAGTATCTTTCAACAATTACTGATTTTTTAAAATATATATTCACTATTTTAGGCTATTACGATGACCAGCTTCTAAAATGCTTATCTAGTTGATATAAATACTCTTGAATAGATATTTAGCAACAAAGAACCTCAACCATTTAAACTTAGTTCTCTACTGGTTTTTCCATTCTAAAAATTAAACATTTATTCAGATTAGTAGTTAAAACACTTTGGCTGTTTTATATTTCTTTCTCTTTTCTTTTCCCACTGTCTTAATAAATATGTAATAAGTTGAACTGACTTAATTTGGTAAATTGAATTAGAAAATCTTCTTTTAAATGAAAATAATGACTAGTAAACAAAAAAGTTTCTAAATATGGTAAAATTTAATGCCCTAGAGATGCCTGATTTAAGTACATCTTCAGGTATATTGCCATTTGCAATATATAGTTATCTAAACTGGGTGGTTACCTTCTCTCCATACCTCATTTCAAAAAGGTTTTGTTCAAAGAGTTTTATTTGTCATTCTTATATGAAGGCAATCTTAAAATAAAAGTAATTTAGGAAAAGCACCTGCTGTGTGCCAGGCACCATGCTGGACTATGTGAAGAAGACACACATAGTCCCTGCCCTGTCAGGGGCAGCCTAGGGGGAAAGGCAGGCAGCTGAATGGACCCTTAAAATATGTTATGATACAGGTAAGTTGATAGGACTCTGAAGCACTTACCTAACACATATTTGGGATTCTTCTGGAAGAAGAATTTATTTATTTATTTATTTATTTATTTATTTATTTATTTATTAATGTTTATACATTTTTGAGAGAGCGAGTACAAGTTGGGGTTGGGGGGAGCAGAGAGAGGTGGACAGAGGATCCAAAGTGGGCTCTGTGCTGACAGTAGAGAGAGCCTGATGTGGGGCTCAAACTCACAAACCACAGGTCATGACCTGAGTTGAAGTCAGACCTACTGAGCCATCCAGTCACCCCTGGAGGAAGTGACTTTTAAGCTCAGGCCCAAAGTATGAGTATGAGTCAGCCAGGTAGAGATGTGGTAGAAGAATTTTCTGTTAGTGGGCACAACATGTGCAAAGAGGTGAGAGAGCATGGAGTCAGTGGGAGAACTAGAAGTAGTTCATCATAGAGTTTGATGATTGAGAGACTAAAGTTCTGGGTTTTTTTTGTTTTTTTAGGTACAATTTTTATTTTTATTTATTTATTGGTTTTTAATATGAAATTTATTGTCTAATTGGTTTCCATACAACACCCAGTGCTCATCCCAACAGGTGCCCTCCTCAATAGCCATCACCCACCCTCCCCTCCCTCCCACCCCCCATCAACCCTCAGTTTGTTCTCAGTTTTTAAGAGTCTCTTACGGTTTGGCTCCCTCCCTCTCTAACCTTTTTTTTTCCTTCCCCTCCCCCATGGTCTTCTGTCAATTTTCTCAGGATCCACATAAGAGTGAAAACATATGGTATCTGTCTTTTCTCTGTATGACTTATTTAACTTAGCATAACACTCTCCAGTTCCATCCACGTTGCTACAAAAGACCATATTTCATTCTTTCTCGTTTTCTTGGCTCCTTTTTTAATTAAAAAATTATGGTTTCATTTTTAATATTTTTTAGGGTTTGCACTTGGTAAAATTTTTAAAGCTGACAAACACTACAAACTCATAAAACTCAGAAAAAACCAACATAATATTTTGAATAATTAACTATCTAAAACACTTCTATAATGCTATTTTCCCTGCATTTAAAAATAGGATAATTTCGGGGCGCCTGGGTGGCACAGTCGGTTAAGCGTCCGACTTCAGCCAGGTCACGATCTCGCGGTC